ATAAATGGTCAACAATTCGAGTGTCTTCCTTAGTATTCAAAAGATAATTTAAAAGATAATAGAATTATATGCTAAAAGCCTAGTTAAAGAATACAATTTTCTAAATAGTATCACCGACCGATGGAGGTGTTTTATTTGCCAGTCCGGCCAGCTGTACCCCTTTTCGCAGCTAATTTTGTCAGTGACGCTATTAGAGTCACATCTTAGCAGAAGGTTGTAAGTAGGAAGAAAGTGTTCTTAAGTAAAATTGAAAATAATCTTAATTTGCTATATTAATAAAAAAAATACAATAAATAGGAAAAAAGAAAGTAAGAAGATTGTTAATAAAGTAAAGAAATGTAAGTTAGATAAAGAGTGTTCAGTAGATAGGACAAAGAGAAAAGTAAAGTAATGTAATGTAATGTAATAGGAAATCACCGACCCGGTGGGCGAAAAACTTTTCAGCCTGTCCGGCAAGCTATGCCCCTGCTTATAGCTGGGAATGGTCAGCGATTTCCCGAAGGTATCCTGAAAGCAATGATTTTATTAGGGTTAGAGAAAGTTCGGTAGAGAAATCGTGATGCAAACATTTATAATTTTTACATAGCACGCGAAAAGGATTGTGTATAGCGTAGTCTGTTGTGCGCGTAGATAGGAATAAGGGGCGATAATTTCTGGTTGGTCTCGCCGGAACAGTGAATTGAAGACGCCCTAGCTGAAAAGGAGAATCTATGTCGCCAATAATCAACTTATGTAGAAGGACAACACCGAGAATTGTCCTACGGTTGGTTAACGACGGAAGGTTGAGAAGAAGCTGCCTGCTGGAGTAGGATGGCAACCGAAGCTTAGGGTCCCAATTTAAACCTCGTAAAGCAAAAAGCAGAAATTGCTTCTGAACAGATTCAATACGATCCTGGCTATCGGTATACTGTGGAGCAGGATCCAAGATAGGAACAACAAGAGAGATGCACAGAAGTTTTTTTATAGAAGGATCGTTAAACTCCTTAGACCGTCGTTTAATGAATCCAGGTACACCTTTTGACGATGGTACCTATGTGAAGATTGAAACAGAGTTTAGAATCAAAAATAACGCCAAGATGATGTAGGGGGTTAGTGTATGATAGAAAAAGTTTGACATCGTCCGCATACATGAGTACACGGGTATGTGATATAACAGAAGGAAGATCATTTATAAAAAGAGTAAAGAGTAAATGTACAAGATGACTACCTTGAGGAACACCAGAAGTAACGTGAACCCGTTTAGAGGTAGTCAGCCTCAGCATTACTCTTTGGGTCCTATCTTTTAAATAAGAATTATACCAATGCAAAAGATACGCAGGGAAACCTATTCGGTCAAGTTTAAAAAGTAAAATGTCATGGTGCACAGAGTCAAACGCTTTACTGAACTCAGTGTAAATGACATCAGTTTGCATTTCCGAAAGGAAAGCATCATTTACCAAGGAAGTAAACTCAAGCAGATTGGTCGTAGTTGACCGATTCTTTACAAATCAATGTTGAATGTTTTGGGCAAATTGCCTTTTAGAACGAGTTAGATAATTCTCATAGCATTGAGAACTAAGAAGAAAGAAGTTCGATTTGGCTATGGAATATTTAGCCAAGTCTGTATTAAAACCAGACTATTTATCCTTTTTAAAATATTTAGATTTTACAATTTTAAGATGTAATAATCGGGGAGTAAACCAGGGTGGTTTTGAAAAAATAGTTGAAGGAATTGACTTGGGAATACACACATCTAAGAGGGAGTTTAGGGTGATATAAAAAATTAATGGCAGTGTTCATATCAACTGAGTCATATAATAAAGACCAATAGGTGGCATAAATAAGCTGATGCAGCAAAGAATAATTTCCTTTGCGAGAGCAACAGCAGGGCTTATTGGCTGATGAGCACATAATGAAAGGATTACAATTTAAAATTGCAATCTCTCAAGTAGGATGATAAACATCCTCAGGAAGAGATAAAGGAGGGCACCTAGACACATTAGAAATAAGGTAGTCGCTAACAAATACAGTGTCAAGTGTTCTATTCAAATGATTAGAAATTTAATTGATTTGAAACAACGAAAGATCAAGCATGCAGTCTATAAAATCGTGCTGTGCTGGGGGCACTAGAAAATTTTCAGCAGTGAATAATGACCAAGAGATGTTCGGCAAATTAAAATCACCCAGCACCATAAATAGGTCATTATCACGCACGTGTGAAGAAACTTCTTTAATACAAGTAATATGTTTCATATAAACTTGAATATCAGAAGAAGGAGGGGCATAAAAGCATGTTATATAGATATTGCGTGTAGGAAAAGACACCTTGACTGAGACAATCTCAGCATCAGTAGGCGTACAAAAACAGAAAAGTTCTAACTGGAGAGTGGTTTTAACGGCAATTAACACCCCACCACCTCAGGTCGGCCGATCATTTCTATACAAAATAAAGCTATTCGATATGACCTCAAAATCAGATATGGGTCTCTAACATTCTGACAATGAATAAAGATTTGGCCAGAAGATGAACTTAGTTTTTTGGGGCAGAAATGGTACCCTGTATTGAAGGGCCTGGAAGGGTGACAGGCTGGGATTACAAATGATTGGGAACTCATCATGTGAAATATTTATTTTGAATGACGATATTTCACGAGGGGTGGAGAAATTAAATTTGGTTATTGACACGCTAGCAGAAGATTTGCTAGCAATATAGGCTGCCAAGGACTCAGAAGTTGTGTCCGACAAAAGTCAAGACACAAAAACTTGGTTACTAGAGGCAACTACCGTTAGAGTAGGCGCTAATGGGGATGTAGGTAATACAGGTGTAGGAGGAGCTAAAGAGGCATAATGATTGTTTTTAACAATCTAGCCTTTGCGGCCAGCTGCTGCTGAGGCAGTTTGAGTAACCGGGACGAAATCAGGTACCGACTCTACTGGGACTACTACAGGGGTTGAAAACGAGGTAATTGGACAGTCGCTTGGAGAAGGCGATAAAGACAACATTGGAGATACATCCAAGTTGCTAGGAAGGGACAAGAAGAAGACAAGATAGGTCAATTGCAAAAGTTCATGCTCCAACCGACGATTGGTTGGAGACTCGAATTTGTATTTGCCAAGCAACTCAAAACACGATTCAAAATTACTTGAGAGTTGCTTAGCCACATTATTCAATTTTAAGAATTGATTTCTCACAGAATTATACATTCTCGAGAAATCAATTCGTTTGTCGATGCATTCTGGGCACGACCAACGCAAGTCGCCGCAGCCCTTCTTGGCAGTTGCAGCGATCTTGTCGCAATTACGCCCAGTGAGACCTGCACATTTAGCATGCATCGTATTCTCACTCAGCCAGCAATTAACAAATTGCGGCAGTGCAGAATCATCAACCTGCTTGAACGTGCAGCGTTTCTTACAGCACGACATCATTGTTATTTGCATATGCAAGTTGCGAGAGCGCAGAGCAAAACGAAAACGGTGCACAAGATAGAGCAAGTAAACACTCAAAAAACAACTATTCGTACACAAACAAATTGTTTGGAGCGAAAAGCAATGGAAAAGTATGCAGCAGCGAACACACGCACAAACAAGTGTATGCACAGGGGAGCACCAAAGCAAAAGAATCAAAACAGGCAATAACAACAACACGGAACTGACGCCGCGTCTTATAAATGCAATAATTAACAGACTTACGCTGCACAACAGATAACACTTTGCACAATTTATAAAAGCTCTTTAAATAAAGCACCGAAAAATGCAAAATTTTTGAATAAAAAGCAAGAATAAAGCGCAAAAATATATAAAAATCTTGGAGCACAAGTAAAACACGTCAATCACTCTTAACTGAGAACTCTGAAATCAATGTTCTCGATTAGCTTTGAAAATGATTTTGAAACTGAGCGGACAGTAAACAAACTACTCTCATACAAACGTTTTCCGTCATTTTATCACTATTTCGAGTGGAATTTCCCAAATCGCTGAAACACGTATTCATTATATTCTTATATAGAGCTTTGAAAATAAGTTTAATGCAAGTCGGACATAGCTTAAAATCCTAAAAAATTACTTTAAAATGCACTTTACACCGAAGGAGCTCAGATTTTGCAAAAAATGTGAAACACGTCTCAAATAATTTTTGATGTATATCCATGCAAATGCATTTGAAGGCAAAAGGCCACCCACCAAACTCCCATTTCCACCAAGGAGGAATGGATTTTTCGAAAAGTGTGAAACACCCCTCTAATGAATTTTAGTAATGATCTTTGAAAATTTGAGGCCGATCCGATGGTTAACAAAACAGTTTCATATCAACGTTTTTCGCTAATTAACCACTGTTGTGAGAGCTTTAAGAATAAGTTTGAAGCAAATTGGGCACCACTTAAAACTTCGCCCAAAAAATCTTTGAATCGCATTTCACGTATAGTTCCTAAGGATCCTTGCGTTCATACATACGGACGGACGGACAGACAGGATTTACATGGCTAGATAGACCAGGCTGTTAATACTGGTCAAGAATATTCTTATTTTTTACATTATACCCTTTTGACCCATTTTTACCTTTTTACCTTATAATTACTAGAGCTGTTGTAAGTTTATTTTCAATCAAAGCATCATTTCTAGAAACGCTTAGATGCATAATAATTGGAAGATTCTTAAGAAGTTTTATTATTCTATTCATACGCTCGCTGCTTGCATAAGCAGTTTTATGAGTCCCAACAGAAAACGTGAAGTGGCATCGAAAAGATCGTCCCGGTACACTCAATAATTCCTGCAATTAAATTGTTTTAAAATTGCTAAGAACCACTTTTCTATCTTGCAGAGATGATTAATGTAAATATCGACACTTACCTCTATAAGGATGTAAGAGGTCAAACAAAGTTAAGGCATTGTAAGATAAATATTAAAAACTGTTTTTGCAGCTTTTCAATCCTATTTGCGTGCTCAAAGGCTAAATGGAGACAATCTTATTAGCGGATCTTTAAACTAGGTAGAGTTGCGCCTAACAAACCAAAACATCGCATACGCCTTATGCATAATATGTTTATATGGTAAATTAATAAGAACTTAGATTCGAAAATGACTCCTAAATCCAAAGCTTCAGATTAACAAATTAGTTTTTGCGTTATTGGAATAGGATGAAAGAAGGACATGGAAACTTGGGCTGAATGTGTTGTGCGACCAAATTGCTGGCAGCGCCGACACTGTAAAATGTCTTGCTTTTTCCATGCATCCTCAATGTGAGCGCGTTGTCCAATCAGAATTTTTATATTCTTTATATCATCTTTGTTTTGGGGGGGAGAGGTTCACAAATAACAGATTCATGGGCTCTTTGGTGGTACGCTATATGGAGCGGTGGATATTAACTGCTTCATGTCCCAACTTTTTTAACTCCGTTTTGAGGTCAACTCCCGTGATCGAGTGATAAAAACTTTCAATGATTCTTTGTATGGTCTGTCGTCTTTGAGCTATTAAGTAAAATATTCCAATCCTTTCTGTAGATGGCATAAAGAAGACTTACTCCGTCAACTGATGTTCTGATTTCAATTTTTTTGATGCGGCAAGCTTTTAACTCTGGGTTTCCTAGAGTATTGTCTTTGACATTAAGATCGTTATGCCGGTAAGCTGGCCTATTCAACGTTGTTTCCTTGGATGCGTTAGATCCGTCGTCAGAGTCAGGAAGGTTGATTTCCGTAGCAACACTGCAAGATAAGATCTGAAATTGAATTTTATACTCGCTGTTGTCCACAACAGTAACAGGTTTTCGAGCTTTAACATAAATATTCTTGTCGCCTTTATTATAATCTCTTATCAAATATTAATTGTTGTGGGGAATTGTGGACTTAAATCGAATTTTTGTTTATGTATTATAAATTCTTAGTACTAGAAAAAATGAGAAGCAAAAAAATTATAATATATAAATATTGATGAAGAATTTCATAATGGGGGCGATTCTGATTTGATCTATGGCAAATTTGATAAACGTGAAAATGTTTTTTTTTCTTCTGGTTCGGCAGAACTTCTTTTGATCGGGTAAAATTTAAAACGTGACTGTAGCAAAAGCATTAAAGCTCAATTTAATTATATTGATCTCTTAACATTTTCTCTTAAACATGCTGCGTTTGCTCTTTGACGCGGCGTCAGAAAATTCATTTTTTTTTGTTTTCTTTTTATTAGACCATTCTCTTTGTCTCATAAATTAAGTGCAAAAAATAAAATTTCTCCATCTCCGAAAACGCTTAGGTGCTACTAGTGCCTGCGCAGATCGAGTTTGTTTCCGATAATCGATAACTTACTCAGTTTCCAAACAATCGATAAGAATCGATATCGATGTCCTGCTTTTTGGGCAATTTTGGTAAATAATAAGAGCTAGAGTCACCAAACTTGACATATAGCTTCTAAAATAGAATATATATATATATGCATTCGATGTTGGAAGAAGAGGGTTCAGGGTATCCCCTAGTCGGCAGCTCCCAACTATAACCTCTTACTTGTTTCTTAAATATTATAGCTTTATGTTAATTTTTCTGTTAATATGAGGATCAACTTTAATTTAATTTATATGAATATTTACATAATACAGTGGACCCTCGGTTGATGTGCACAATTGGTTCCAGCATCTTGTTCGTTATGCAAAACGTTTGTTAAGCAAAACCATTATTGCCATTGAAGAACTGAAAAAATACTCTAAAATATTTAAAGTTCAGTTTTTATTGAAAGAAACTTAAATGAAATGTATTGATGGCTCTGGCGACCTTTCCATATTTCAATATTTATTTGTTGGCTGGCTCGAGGTCCGTGTTTGTTAAAACAAACAATGAAAAACAATTTTATTCAATTCTCTTCCGATATATTTCGGTTGCACATCGGCAAACCGTCTTCAGGGCACTAACACCAAGATACAAAAAACAATTAACAATTATAATACAATAAATTAAACATTATTTCGAACATTTTACATACATTATTTTACACGTCTGCGCTTTTTGACGTGGAGATTGTTACTGAGGTTGTTTGACTGTTTAAGAGGTGTCTGTACAAGTGAGCGCAATTTTCTGTGTCTGTCTTGTAGTTTAGTCGTTTGTAGGTTGGTGTGTTAATTATGTGTAGCATTTCCAATGTGTGTCGCTTGTTATAGTGTTGTTCTTGTTGTAAGATTGTTGTTTCATCAAAATTTGGTGTGTGGTTGCTTCTTATACAATGGGTCATAAGTGCTGTTTTCTGTATATTATTTTGATGTCTTAGTTTGAAGTCCGATTTATGTTGACTAATCCTTGTTTTTAGCTTCGATTTTGTTGTACCTATGTAGACACTATTGCACTTGTTGTTGTTATCCCCGCCACATGGTATTTGGTAAACGACGTTGCTTTTTTCGATCATCGGGATTTTCGACTTTATCTTGTTGAAGAATTTTTGTAATGTATTCGTCGGTTTGTGTGCTACTTTTATATCTTGTTTGTTATAACAGTCTGAGTTTGTGAGGCGTTCTGATAGTCGTGGTACATATATTAGTGATTTGTATATTTTAGCAGGTTCTGTTGGCTTTTTTCTTTCGATTTGTCGTCTTTTTAATAATGTTTTGATTATATTTGGGGGGAAGTCATTTTTGGTCAAAAGTTCTTTGATTTCATGTTCAATTTCTTTGTGGTATATTGTGTCCGATATTTTCATCATTCTATTCATACAGCCTAGTGCTGTATTGATTATCATACTCTTTGGGTGGTTTGAATTGAAGTTGAGTATTCGTCCGGAGGCTATGGGTTTCCTATACCACTTTATTTTGAGTGTGTTGTCCATTCTGCTTACAATAGAGTCTAAAAATGGTAATTTCCCGTCCTTTTCTAATTCCATTGTAAATTTTATCTGTTTGTGGAAGGAATTCAATTCTTTTAGAATATTTTCCACGTCTATTTTGTTCGTTATGGCAAAAAGGTCATCTACATATTTGGTCAAGAGTCTTGGTTTTATTTTTAATTTATCTGTAATCTTGTCCAACAGTTCCTCCATTAATATATCTGCGATTACTGGGGAAGCCGGTGATCCCATTGGCATTCCCTTAAGTTGTGTGTATATTTTGTCTTCGTATTTGAAATATCTGTTTTCCTGTATGCAAAATCTAACTATGTCCATAAATAGTTGTTTCGGTATATTCGTGTGCTCTTCTAATTTGGTCCATTTTTGTCTTATTGTGTCAAGTGCTAATTCTATTGGTATGCTGGGAAATAAGGATACTACGTCAAAAGATACTAATGTTTCCTCTTCTCTAATCTGGGAGTTGTTGACTCTGTCTTTAAAATCTACCGCGTTCTTGATGTTGTACCTAGAGTCCATTGTCAGATTTTTTAATATTTGTATTATATATTTGCACAGCCCGTAAGATGGAGATCCTATGGAAGAACATATTGGTCTCAGTGGAGTTCCTTCCTTGTGTATTTTTGGTAGTCCATATATCCTCGGAGGTACCGCTGTTGTTGTAGTCATCTTATTTCTTTCGTCCTTTGAAATAAGACCCATCTTGAATAATTGTGCTACGAAGGTGTTATTCTTTGTCTGTAGTCTTGATGTCGGATCCAGTCTCAATGTTCTATACGCGCATAAGTCGTCTAAAATATTTGTCATTTTATTTTTATATTCATCCTCATCCATTGCTACGGTTTTGTTGCCCTTATCCGACGATAGAATTTTAATATTTATATTTTCTTTCAGTAATTTTCGTGTCTGTTCCACTGTGTCCAGTATTGCTCGATCCCTACTGTTTTGGTTGTTCTTGGTTTTATGCTCTTTGACTAACAAAGAGAATTTTGTGCGCGCCGACTCTTGTGTTTCCTTTTCTTTTATTGTTTGCACTAGCTCCTCACCGTCTGCGATGTATTTCAAGAGAGGAAAATCTCTCTTGCTGATTGGGAGAGCGAACTTCGGCCCTTTTGCGAGTAACGCTACGACGTTTGGCGGGAATTCTATTTTTGTTTTGTTTACAAACCACTCTCTTTGCGTGTTGTTATCCGCTAAGGCTAGGTTCCGTTGATCTCGTAACTTATCGTGTTTCGTTTCTTGTCTTTTCTTGAGTGTTGTTGTTATTTTGTTTTCTATATTTCTCTCGCTCTCAAAAAACGCTTTTGCGTCATCTGTGGTCATCAGTTGACTGATGACCACAGATGACGCAAAAGCGTTTTTTGAGAGCGAGAGAAATATAGAAAACAAAATAACAACAACACTCAAGAAAAGACAAGAAACGAAACACGATAAGTTACGAGATCAACGGAACCTAGCCTTAGCGGATAACAACACGCAAAGAGAGTGGTTTGTAAACAAAACAAAAATAGAATTCCCGCCAAACGTCGTAGCGTTACTCGCAAAAGGGCCGAAGTTCGCTCTCCCAATCAGCAAGAGAGATTTTCCTCTCTTGAAATACATCGCAGACGGTGAGGAGCTAGTGCAAACAATAAAAGAAAAGGAAACACAAGAGTCGGCGCGCACAAAATTCTCTTTGTTAGTCAAAGAGCATAAAACCAAGAACAACCAAAACAGTAGGGATCGAGCAATACTGGACACAGTGGAACAGACACGAAAATTACTGAAAGAAAATATAAATATTAAAATTCTATCGTCGGATAAGGGCAACAAAACCGTAGCAATGGATGAGGATGAATATAAAAATAAAATGACAAATATTTTAGACGACTTATGCGCGTATAGAACATTGAGACTGGATCCGACATCAAGACTACAGACAAAGAATAACACCTTCGTAGCACAATTATTCAAGATGGGTCTTATTTCAAAGGACGAAAGAAATAAGATGACTACAACAACAGCGGTACCTCCGAGGATATATGGACTACCAAAAATACACAAGGAAGGAACTCCACTGAGACCAATATGTTCTTCCATAGGATCTCCATCTTACGGGCTGTGCAAATATATAATACAAATATTAAAAAATCTGACAATGGACTCTAGGTACAACATCAAGAACGCGGTAGATTTTAAAGACAGAGTCAACAACTCCCAGATTAGAGAAGAGGAAACATTAGTATCTTTTGACGTAGTATCCTTATTTCCCAGCATACCAATAGAATTAGCACTTGACACAATAAGACAAAAATGGACCAAATTAGAAGAGCACACGAATATACCGAAACAACTATTTATGGACATAGTTAGATTTTGCATACAGGAAAACAGATATTTCAAATACGAAGACAAAATATACACACAACTTAAGGGAATGCCAATGGGATCACCGGCTTCCCCAGTAATCGCAGATATATTAATGGAGGAACTGTTGGACAAGATTACAGATAAATTAAAAATAAAACCAAGACTCTTGACCAAATATGTAGATGACCTTTTTGCCATAACGAACAAAATAGACGTGGAAAATATTCTAAAAGAATTGAATTCCTTCCACAAACAGATAAAATTTACAATGGAATTAGAAAAGGACGGGAAATTACCATTTTTAGACTCTATTGTAAGCAGAATGGACAACACACTCAAAATAAAGTGGTATAGGAAACCCATAGCCTCCGGACGAATACTCAACTTCAATTCAAACCACCCAAAGAGTATGATAATCAATACAGCACTAGGCTGTATGAATAGAATGATGAAAATATCGGACACAATATACCACAAAGAAATTGAACATGAAATCAAAGAACTTTTGACCAAAAATGACTTCCCCCCAAATATAATCAAAACATTATTAAAAAGACGACAAATCGAAAGAAAAAAGCCAACAGAACCTGCTAAAATATACAAATCACTAATATATGTACCACGACTATCAGAACGCCTCACAAACTCAGACTGTTATAACAAACAAGATATAAAAGTAGCACACAAACCGACGAATACATTACAAAA